CTTTTTATGGACAAGATTAATAACTAGGCTGAGTGATCTGATATAGATATGATGTGTTATTCACATTAATCTTGAAATATCTCTCTAACTCTATGGAATTTGGATAAGAGAAATTAATGCATTAAAACTATTGTAATCAACTAGTAGCCTAGTGAGATTTCCCCATTTGTATTTTCCCATGATTTAACGGTGCTATTTCCTGATCTGTGTACAACCATGCTATTTCAAATATCCTATCAGATGTGAACTGATGTAATGAAGATTTCTAACCTCTGAAAAGACGAAGTTTTTTTGGCCTGAATTCAAGCAAAAACTGAAACATTCTTTGTTGCTTTTTTCCAAATATTCGAAGGTAATCTTTGGTATAAGGAAGATAAGTAGCAGCAATGTCATAATGGTAATCATCATCACCGTCTCATATAATTGCATCATTCCGAACTTTCAAAATTGTTTTTGCATCATTCCGAACTTTCAAAATTGTTTTATTTTCATTTAACTGGTAACATCAATGAGATATTTTCAAAAATTTTTGTTTTATTTAAAATTTAATAGAATTAAAAAATAGAAATATTGAGACATTTTCTTCACAGAACAGTACATATTGATTAAGTGAGTAAAATTAATATGGATTATTTTAAGGTATATAAATTGACTCGTAAATTTTCATTTCATTCTTTAGGGGATCGAGAGCTGCTATCCAAACAGTTACTACAGCATCCTTCAGGTGCTTGAGGAACTTTATGTCTCTCCAGGTACATCCCTCCATTTGCCGATGGAATGATTTCGAAATATATTCATAAAACCATTCGTTAAGTTATGCCGTATTGTCTTGGTCCGGCAAGAAATATACGTTCTTGCCTAGCCTAAAATTTCGTAAGTGTCGTTAGTATTGTGTTGTTTTGAGAAATTGTTATATGTATATATATATAAGAATCAGGTTGGAAGCTATAAAAGTCAGTCCAGAGACTTGTGATCTCTGAACGTAACTGTTTATGAGCCCAACGATCAATTTTAGTTTTTCTACCTAATTTCTAAAGCAAAAGCTTTTTATGGGATAAAATGAAAATAAATCCTTACAATTCCGCCTACACAGCGAGACAATAAGATATATATATATTTATACATAGTCACACAAACAAATATATCAGTTAATATATCAACTGATATATTTCATCAGATAATACTTTAATATACTAATTATAAAAGAAACTATTAATGCTAACTAATTAAACTATCGAATATTTGCAGTGCTAAATTCTACAATCAATATTGTCTGGAAGAATTTTCACGAACACATTAATGATTGATTGTACCATTTCAATTATCAATAACCGGTTCACAGCGAATTCTTTAATAAAACAATGCGCGGTATGTGTCATTATATATTACAAGGAAATGCATGGGATAATAATTTAAATGATATATTAAACATGAAATTTGTATATGTATTATTATTGTTGGCGAACATAAAAGGGATCGATAATTTGATCTTTCAGTTTTTAACACTCGGAAAATGGCCTGTAATTTAAAAATTAAAAATAAAAAAATTGAAAAAAATAAGGAAAAAATTAAAAATAAAATTAAAAAAAGAAATTAGAATTAAGAAACTAAAAGAATGTTTAGTTTATTTAACACTTTCTTAATTTAACTAATGCAACAGCCCAGTTCTTTTGGCTCAAATTTTAGAAAGTAAACGAATCTCTTAAAGAAGATTTGAAATGCGGTAAAACTAAGGTAAAGGTAAAAGTCTCGAATTTTAAAATTTGTATGAAGTCACATTCAACTTATAAAACAGACTGTTAAAACAACTGATTGGACTTATAATTAGTATTAAATCAAACTATAATTTAAATGGGTCGCCCAAACAACATAACGACAATCCTGAAATCAAAAATTAGCTAACGGCTCTTCTGATTGTTGTAATATTGTTGAAAGTTGTAAAGTAAGTATAATTTGGTGAAGATTAAATAGTTGAAAATATAACATACCTGAAAAGTTAAGAAATTTCAAATATGAGAAAGGGATTTTTTAGCAAGTTAAAAAAGGATCATATGCTGTTTTTCTTTTAGGATTTTTCCCATATTTAGGCTATCTCAAAAAATCTGCCCCATTTTGAATTATTAAAAAGATCCATAATTAATTAATAATCACATTTAATCATATTCCATTCCTTACAATTCAGTACAAATATAATTATTACTCTGTTTAATTTTAAAAATACCGGGAAGATCGTCATAAAAAAACCATTGATGATAACGATTTCATCTGGTTGTATTCAGAAGAATTTGAACCACAAATAGAATGTTTGTTGATGTTTCAATTATTGCAGCAATAACAGTGATCACTTATCAAACAAAATGATACTGATTGTTTCTTCTTCTTCATATCATTTTATTTTCTCATTTAAACTGTATTTTGTTGTTTTTGGGAGAGAAAACTCATCTGATGTCCTTGATAATCATTATCATTATTATTATCTCGAAATCACAACAGTTGAGAAAACAAGTTTGCTAATTGTCTGAATGCTAACTGTAAGTTTTTAGTTTACATTCTGAATGCTAACTGTAAGTTTAGTTTCCATTCTGAATGCCTAACTGTAAGTTTAGTTTGAACCATAAATAGAATGATTGTTGATGTTTCAATTATTGCAGGAACTAATTGTCTGAATGCTAACTGTAAGTTTAGTTTGAGTTTAATTTTCGTTTTGTCTTCGTATCAAGAGTGTAGGAATAGGTTGCTTTGATAATCTTTCACAGAGACCAATGATTACTTTCGGGAAATTCCTCATTGATAGTAATCGACAATTGTGTGGGTTTCTTGCCAATCTGCTTCATAAAATCATTGTTATTATCCGTTTTCTGAATGAGTTAAGTCCAATAATTTAAAATTTTCGGAGTTACAAATTCAGAATTTTTGAACTTTCTCAATTTCATTTTTTAATTTTTTTCAGCTTCTTCCAATTTCATTTTTTAATTTAAGTTTTCTCATTCATTTTATATTATAAATCTGTTAATCAATATCTTTTCGCTGCTTCTACTTATAGCAAGAAAATAAATGTTTCGAAGTCTGCAAGTCTTTCAAACAATCAGTCATAGTTGCCAACCGACAAAACTCCTACAAAACGCAACTTTCACAATACAGAATTGAGAACTGATTCAGCTCCGGAAGTGCGACTTAATTTGCATGTAATTTCTCAATTTCTATGTTTTGTCATTTTTCAATTTCTAGATAAAGAATGCCATGTATTTGGCCGAATCTATCCTTGAAACATGATTGGCTCTCGTTTTTTGAATAATTTGTTGTGATCTTTCCAGATTGCTCTTTATTCTGAAGTTCTAAAAACTGAACATCCCGATGTTGCCGAGTAGAAGAGCTGATTAATGCACTGAACAGAAAACAAAATTATATTGGTCGACTAATAACTTGAACGGAGCATTATACAGAAACCATTTGAGTCATTTACAGTTCTTAGGCAATTTGTACGATTAAAGCTGTGAAACTATTACTCCCATTATTAGTGTTTTATCTCATTGTCAAAGGTGTTTGCAAAATTATCTCTCATTGTCGTAAGCCGAATATCCAACAATACGTCGTTATGTTTGGCCTTTGACTCCTGTGCTAACATATGAGAATTGCTAATTAAAATGTAATTAAATTTATTTCAGGTATGTGAAGGCTGAGACAAATGCCAAGTTGATTCGCTTCAGTAAAACCACTAGATTTGAGGGATTTGAGAGACCGAAACAATTTGACGGATTCATGAACAAAAGGCGATTTAGTTTTCATTCAGTGAAAATTATTCAAAAGTCGTTGTTTCGATCCTCGAACAAATGTGATTCGTATTTCTGACGCATTAAACCGGTTCCTAGAATCTTGAAATCAGGCTTTTGTTTTCTGGAGAGTGACTTAAGCATATATTCTGCAATCGTTTGTTGCGTTCATCTGCGCCCACATAAATCTCTCTTCTTGATGGTGGTCCACATTTGATGCGAAGAAAGAAATAAACGAATGGAAGAAAACGGTCCTCAAAAATTAATTTTTTCTTTCAAAAGAAAAGTGCAACAAAGTAACAATTACGGTAAACTTGTCCTTTTGCTCCAAAAATAATCAGAAATATACCGGCAATACATAAAAAGTAACAGTGCTATTATCTTTAGAACAAAAATTCCAAAACTTGATTTTTTTTTGATGATATCCAAAATATTGGAATATCAGGCTACCATTGGTTGAAGGTTTAACTGCAAAATCAAGAGAATAGGCAAAACTGCCTTGTTAAAAAGGACGGAACCAAGCAAAGAAATGGATTCATATTCCCTGATTAAAGTTCAACAAATTAGTGATTGTTGTAGAGGTTAAAACTTTCTGTGTGTTCCCTACCCCAATTATCGTTCAATTCAAGTGGATTTTTTCGTTTTTGTATCAGTTTCGTCTTTCTGCAAGCAGGCACTTTTACATCCAGTTCATTCTTCTTATCTTCCATCAACGACTCATTTTTTAACTTATTGATTGAACCATTTATTAAATCAATTTTAATTGAAGAAAATGGCATTTCGGAGTGATGAACATTACCGAATCGTGTCAGTTAGCAGTAACATTTGGCTGTATAAAGAAAATAAAAAAACAACTATGTATGTGATTTGCACATAGTTCCAAAGTTTTGTTCTGCTTTTAACACGTGCTGTCCTACAACTTAGTCTTTTTAGTACGAAGTTTTAAGGAATTCAAAAGATGCGAATTTAGAATTATTATACTTCATGAAAATTGTTTTTTTAACTCTTTATTTATCATAACGTTTAGTAATTTAACGAGTGATTGATATCGAAATTAACCAATTACTACTATATATATTTTTTTCCGGCTTCTTGTTTCAATCCATGGGTTATCGATCAATATAGATACTACAAACTATGACGGAGCCGTGGATGACTTTGATGACGATAACTTGTGTCGCATAAACTTTTGATATATTTTAAACATTGATTGAAATCACAGTCTATTTAATAGCATGATATAGAATACAACAGAATACAACGCCAAACAAAGCTTCGAATAATTTTAAAATCTGCACAATCATACAGAGGCATTTGGAGAAAATGAAACAATTATCCATAATAATAGTAGTAATAGGGAGGATAACCGTAGGAATAAGGAGAGTAACCGAAGTATGGATAATAATAACCATATGGAGGAGAATATGGGGAGCCTCTACCCCCCGACCCCAATAATGAAGCTAGTAAAAAAGTTCCAAGTAAATCTGAGTTAGGAGAATTTTGAGGAGTTTGAGGAGATTGTCCAGTTTGACTTCTCCCTTGATCGCTTCCACCAAGAAAAATAAACTGTAGTGCGTTACCATTGTAGGCCACTGTCTTAAATTTTAAAACAAAAAAAAAAATTGAAAATATTTAAATGTTACAAAATTTTCATTTCTATTTATGTAATTCTTTAAATTCCTTAAATTCCCATATGATATATTTATTATATCAATAATCTTTTTTTTTAAACAAAGAAATCTTTTAAAAGATATCAAAATAAAAAAAAATGAAAAAATTTCGCAGCA